CAAAAAAAAAAAAAAAAAAAAAAAAAAGAAAGAGACAGGTACACAACAGACAGATGCTAGAGGCAGCTGTGAACCTCTTATTACAGTGCGCGCCAAGCCCTACAGTACTGTATCACATCGGTTCCACCGCTACCGGGGGTAGGCTCGAGGAGGAATCTCGAGCCTACAGTGCTGCGCGCCAAGCCCTGCCTGTTACTTGATTACCACGTCACCACCAGTTGGGAGGGAAAGAGTCACATCAGGACTTTTCGACTAAGTGCACGGAAAAAAGAACAGAAGACTTCCCCTGAGTGTATCTGACAGCTTTCGCCTCCACATTCAGTCAGTCGCAAAAACGCCTACGGCAGTACTGCAACATGCCTTACTGAAAGGTTTCCTTTTTAAATTCCCCCTTTTCTCCTTCTTCTCTCTTCTCTTCTCTCTTTTTTTCGTTTCAAGGCTTTTAGAGATCCTTCGCAGCTGAGGGATCCAAACAGTACTGCAATGTCCAAGTCTTTTCCTCACCTAAAAGAAACCCCAGTCCCTTGGGACATCCGTTAAAATTGGAACGATACAGAGAGAGAAGATTAATTAGCATGGCCCCTGCGCAAGGATGACAAGCATAATTGATACGCGCTGTGAACGGAGACAGGAAGGTAGTGTAGTGGGGCAAAAGGGGAAAAAGGCAAGGCCCCCTCACTCAGGTGTCCACTGTTTCTATTTTTGGCATTATTGTTTTGCTATTTTTGGCAGCCCCCCCAGCCCGACCGATATGAAATCCCACCAGCGCGTACCGGGCCTTCGGTGCCCCTCCAAGGCTCCGACACAGTTAGCTAAAGCCCCGTGGGGACTCGTCATTTCATTACATGATAATATTATATAGCATGACCGCCTTTGGCCTCAGGTCCGTGAGCCACGTGGACTCCCCTCGTGCTCGTCGACGTCCCCAACGTAACTCCACTTCCTCCCTTTCCTCCTCCTGATCACCTCCTCCTCCTCCTCGTCATCATCATCCTGTTTTCTTCTTCTCCTCCTCCTCCTCGTCATCATCATCCTGTTTTCTTCTTCTCCTCCTCCTCCTCCTCATCCTCTTCCTCCTCACCACCATCACCATCACCATCATCATCATCATCATCTTCATCACCATCATCACCATCACCTTCTCTGGTTGTTCTTCCCCTCCACTTCCTAGTCTTGCTTCTCCCCATCATCATCCTTTTCTCTTCTTCTTCTCCTGCTCTTCAACACCATCAGCAGCAGCATTAGCATCATCACAACACTCTCCTCCTCCCTTTTCTTCTGCGTCGCCGATCCCCCATCCTCTTGGCCCTTATTCTCCGCGCCGTTCCTTCTTCCTTCCACCTCTCTCCTCCGTGTTCCTCTTTCTCTTCTTCCGCTCCGTCCTTTCCTTTTCATCCTGTTTTGTTGCGCCTCCTTTCCCAGTGTCGCTCATACGCGTGAAAGCACTCGTTCACATAGCAGAAAATAGACGCAGGCACTCTCATCTGGCGAGTGTCTGTGTGCGCGCGTGCATTGAGGGAAGGTCGACACAAGAGGACGAAGAGAAACAGGGGAAAGAGTGAACGGAGTAGGAGAAAGGAGAGTTCAACCCAGGGCGACGCTCTCTCTCTCTCTCTCTCTCTCTCTCTCTCTCTCTCTCTCTCTCTCTCTCTCTCTCTCTCTCTCTCTCTCTCTCTCTCT